ATTGTTATTTTGATTGATTGATGCAAAAAGAGCTCTTTGTTCAATTATCTGAATAGCATATCGCCATTTAGGACATTAAATCCGTAATTGTTTGATTGTTCTAATATTGGTGGCAGAGAACATAGTTGATTACTAAGGGTTTTTGATTTTATGTTTAGAGAGATATATGATCTAGTCTAAATGATCCTACATGTGTGATTGTTGGCTAGAATTGGTGGTCCTTCTAAATTTTAATGTTGTTGATAGATTAAATCCTATAATCGTATCTAGGATTGTCTATTGATTAGAGAAATAGTTAGTGATCGTATCCCGATTATCGAACAAGTAAGGAAGGATAGGTTATTAGGTCGTACCAATAACCATAACCAGTTTAATTGAGAGTAGGAGAATTATCTTTGCATCTATGATCGAATCATTGAACCATTTCTACGAATCTTTCCTTTGGTTGGATATTTTATCTCCTTTATTCACTCTATTTAAATCTTGAATCTCTCCTTTTTGTGTTTATTTTCATTGAACTGCATTTTTATTATTTTAGGTAGATTGAACACATCAAAACCCCCATCTTTTTATTTATTTGTTATTCCTTTACGAAATAGTTGCATCAATTCATTTCATCCAATCTCTGTGGATACGACCCTACTCATTGCTACTATAATTTTATATCTTAAATGAGTAGGAATTTATTATTGTTGGTTTCGACACCCATCATTATTGTACTCGTGAGCCGTAAACCTATCCTTTGTAAGAACAACCCAGGCAAAGTCCCCCATCTCAAACTCCACATGGCGCCTCTTAGCATCCGCTTGTTTTTTGTAAACCGCCGTGGTAGCCTCGAGGCGAGCTCTAGTCTTCGCGTGAATATCCTGTAACTCCGCGATGAAGTCGGCGGCGCGGCGATCGGGCGCCGACGAAGAAAAGGGTAAAGCCACCAAGTCCGATCTAACTAGTATTATTGGCAAACAAGGGTCGATCCCACAGGGAGTGTGAATTAAATTGTGGCTTTTTCGTATTAATTGATATTCAGAAAGCAATAAATGGGGGGATTTATTTAATAACAAAAACAATTAATATCCTAAAGAAATAAATAAAATCTAAACAAAGGAAAATAAAAATAAAATAAGATAAATAAGAGAATTTTCTAGTTCACGGTTCCGTCTACACCCTCAACTGACTCGTCTAATCAACTTTGGTATCAAATCTCGCTATCTTATGAAATTACTAGCCCTAGGCAACGACACGGTCTGTTACCCAATTTTTTTCTTATTTTTAATTTAATCGCGAGACGCTCGTCAATTAAATCTGACTTCTTGTACAATCTAGAAAATGCTTCTTAGATTTAATATAATTAGCTGCTTTATGATCTAGAAAAACAGACTAAACTAAGTAGTCAAATCAACCGCGTTCGTTCACTTAAATAGGTTGTGTTATCCCCGGTAGTTACCATCTTCCGGTTATGAATTAAACACAACAACAATTACAGATTGAAGGTTTAATTCAGCTGTAGATATGTAAAACCTAATCTAGATGATCAATCTAAATAAGACTCAACACATCATGGTTAATTATTCAAAATAACACAAGCAATTCCAAAAAAAAAATATTGAAATTATCAACCGCGTAAATTAATCAAACATAGTAAATCATTGGGTTCGACTTCCCCAGAACTAGAATAAAATTTACTCTAACATAATAAATAAAAATAAAAATAAATAAATAAAAGAGAGAGATTAATTATCTCTCTCGTGTACGGGTGCGGTCTCCCTCCGCTTCGTCGGGTTCCTCGTCTCTGTCCGTGTGTCTTCTTTCCCGTATGTGTGGCGGCTCTCTTCTCTCCTTTCTCTCTCCGTGATTGTGAGTGGTTCCTTTCTCCCAAGTCTCCTTAGCAAATAAATAAGCTCCCCAATCCTTTTCTTTTCCTAAATAACTAATGCAATTCCTACCCAATAATACCCGCCAAAATCAAATTCCCAACCAATCTCAATTGCTGCTCCATTATCCAAGTGTTGACCAAAATAATTCCCACATGACATTGGTTTCACTAGTTCTTTTGGCTCACTTCTCCCATATGAAATATTTGGGCCCAATTATATTAATCTCAATGCCATATAAATGCTCTACTAGCAGAATATTGGGGTCTGGAAAGAAATACTGGAGTACCCAGTACTGCAGTAAACGGAAGTTTATCGAACTCATATCTTAGACTCAATATCGTCACCTGCTAAAAATACTCGCAAAACATTAAAAACCACTAAAGAAACACATCATAGCACATGAATCCATCTAATTAATAAATAAGTCGAAAAACATAAAAGTGCGATAAAATTAAGCATATCAAAATACGCTAATAAATATGTAAAATAAACACTTTTTCCGACCAATCAATGGACTGGGAAGCTTTTATGTAGGGTAGCAGGTGTTAGGGCCTTGGAGTGGTTTCTGGTAGCTGTAGCTTTTATCTTTTTGTTGTGTAGCTGTAGTGGTTAGTTTAGCTTTTTAGTTTGGTGGTGTTTTGTGTTTTTGTGTTTTAGCTAGTTGTTGGTTGTTGGGTTTTGAGGTGTAGAGGTAAAGGTTCAATTGAGGGTAACTGCTTTATCTCTATTTAGTTTGTTAGCTTTTGTTAGTTGTGGTTTGTGTGTTCTAGCTCACCTCGAGTTATGCTCCCAACTTCGACTTCTTGTACTGAACTTTTTTATTGTGTTATGAGATTTATTTCTGTCGTTTGGAAAAAAAAAAGATTGAAATGATCAAAATTGTTGAATTCACTTCTTCATATTTCCTGTTTGTCTGTGATACGGATTTGTGAATACCTCAGATCCCACTACAAATTTGACATTTATAAATTTCACGTCTGTTTTCATTGTGTGTGGAAAAAGTGATGTTTATGTGTGCAAAAGTGAGGTTTGCTTCTTTCTTTGTGTATAAATGAAATATTTGTAATCAGTAGTATTTTCCGTAAATGTTGTACATTTTCTCTAGGTCCTTGATGATTTGAAAATATGAAAAGTGGCCTGTAGTGCCCCGTTTGAATTTTGGATTTTATGGATGATTTATTTTATTTATGCAGATAACTGCATTTAATATCTATGCTCGACCAGTTATTAGGACCAATTGGACATTAGTGTCAATTTTAGACACTAACGTTAAGTAACTAATTTATTAGACAATTTAGTTTATTTAAGTTATTCAAATTTTCGAATAGTCGTTGGCTATTCAAAATTTTCTGGTTTGTTTTATTTAACGAATCATTATTTCAGTTTATTTTATTTAGCGAATCATCGCTAGTCGCTTATTTCTTTTTAGTCTTTATGAGATATAATTTCAGCCCAATGAACTCTTATATTATTTTGGCCCAATCGCTAGGGTAGCGATTGTCTATAAACTGAGCAAAAAAAAAAATGGTTTTTAACTCAATTTTACTGTTGAGTGTGTGATTGTTTTCAACTTGATGGGTTATTATTGGGCCCACACATTTATTCCTGCCACTGCAAAAGTGTCTTGTTTTCAACTTGATGGGTTATTATTGGGCCCACACATTTATTCCTGCCACTGCAAAAGTGTCTTTAACTCCACCAGTCCATCTATAAAAAAAATCATTGACCTCTACAACTTTTTTGACTCCTTTTTAGATCATTTCAAATCCATGGAGCTGTCTCTGAATCCGTACAACATATTGTCTCAAATTTTTCCTCCATAAAACCCCTCACCCACCTCCGTCTCTGTATGGATCTCTCCCCACACCAAAATCAACCAACAACAGAACGTGAAGAAGGTGCTGAAGGGAGGTCAGATCGGCGACCCGACAAAACTACAGAGAGCACCGGCAGCATGTCGGTCACATCTCTAAAAAAAACTCCGGCCAACAAAGGTACATGATACTCCTCTTCAATTTGTAAAATTGAAACGTGTGTGAGGTCAATTTATCTTTGCCTGCAAGATTGTGGTAGAGGTGCACCAAATTTGAAACATGCTTGAGTTCAATTTTGAGATTTCAGATTACATGGCATTGGGGGTTCTTAGAGTTGATGGATTTGTAAACCACAAATCATGTTCATTGTATATCGACTTTTGTTATTATTAAGGGAAATTTGGCGGCGCACTTCGTTGTACGATGGGTACTGAGGGCGTATGTCTGTATTTGTCACCGTGTTCAATGTTGATTAAATATTATCTTGCCAGATTTTACTTCAATTCCAAGTACAGGGCATTTTTTTTTGTAGGGGTGTACAGTGTTACCTTTTATTTTTAGGGGCATTCTGTGTTGTTACCTTTTACTTGCAATTAATTTTAACACATGTGAAGAGTACCATACCCCATTGTAGTTGGTTTGTTTATATCTTATAAATGTAGATGTCATATACCAGTGGTATTGGTACTTCAACTGATAATAGTCAAGGCGACGCGAAAGGGACTCTTGAAAATGAAGCAACATTTGTGAGTGTTTTGTTGGAAGAAGTCCAGTTGGGAAACCGTGTGGCCGGTAAGTTCACCTCGAATCAATGGACGACTATTCTTGGAAAGTTTCTAGAGCGGTGCCCTACTTTCTATACTTCTAAAGTTGGCCAACTACACACAAAGTACCAACATATGAAAGTCTATTGGAGAAGGTTTCATAACATAGTTACCAACACAACCGAATTTGGATGGAATGACACTAAAAAACTGATTGAAAGGACCGATGAATGGTGGGCCAAATGGACAGCCGTAAGTATTTTTATAACATACAAATTATTTTGTAAAAATTATTGATCATTTGACAAGTGCTTTTCTGGTTGCTATTAGTGTGGTTGTATATGTTAAATAGAATGATGAATTCATGAAGGTGATTTGCTATTATATTTTGCAAAAATATGTTACTGTGACTTGGTCTAGTAATAATTATTACTATCCTTAGAAATATATTTCATCGATTTTTATACTATCTTTTGTTATGTTCTTCTCATATTGGTAAAATCTTTTTTTCAATGTCACGTGCACAGACAAATAAAAGGGATCATGACATGGAGAATAAGGTGTGCGTGCACTATGAAGCACTGACTGTTATTTTTTACGACATGACTGCTACGCGGTCGAATGCAAGGGCATCAACTCAACGGGTGGCCGAGGGCCGAAGCGTCGGTGGTGACCCATTTGGCAGTGTCAGCCACGACTTTGTGGCAGAGGATGATGACGACCAAATGGTCACCCCGACATCTCATACACGAAATGGTAGGCAGAGGCGGTCCGTTCGCCCAAGGAGAGGCACCGAGTCTAGTTTTGACACGGCCATGTATTCATGGTCAGACTTAAATGTATCTCTTAAAGAAAGAAACAATAAACCCCCAAAGCTAACGACAATTGAACAAGCTATGCGACCTTCAAGTAATGTCGGATATGGATCATGATCTTTTCCAATATGTGTGCTAGAATTTTCAGGATCCCACCAATCGAGCGATGTTTGCGGCAATTACTAGTGACGAGAGACGTCGTATTATAATTAAAATGTGAATTGATGAGGGCCCCGGTGATCAGTGAAGGGGATGTTGAAGAACGTTTTTTTATTGCTCTTTATTGCTTACTAGTACAACACCCGTGTATTACACGGGTGTTTGTTAGAAAATTATTCTTAAATTTTAAAATTCTTGAGAAAACTATATTAAATTTAGTTTACTTTCTTACAAAAAAAATATATTACTATATATTTTAAAATGATATGTGTTACTTATGACTTACATGTATTATATTGTATTAGTTTTAATAACTTATATCATATAACTACTTGAAATATAAATATATTAGTTGATAAATAATTTTATTTTTCTAATTAATATTTAAAATAATTTTATTATTGTTATAAAGATAAATATAAATTATTTTTTTAATACATACAATATGGATGTTAAATCGAAGCTCATCAAAAGAAGATTAATTTGATATATTACATATGTAAAACTGATAAAAATACAAAAGTTATTAACTTTTAAAATATATATACAATTCAATAATTATAATAAATAATAATATTAAAATGCAATTACTACATATAACATGACCATAAATAATCAATATATTTATGGTAATCTGAACCTAATTATTTTTGGTTTGGAATTAAATTAAAATTTACCCAAGCCTAATAACGAAGCATGTAATTTTGCCACATAGGATTCCGAAGCACAAAAAACAGCCACGTAGACTCAGCGCGTTCTGAATTAATATACAGGGGGGATATAGGGGGGGATTGCTTCTTGGACTTCTCTATATTCCTATTTTCTTCATTTGCACTATGTCTAACATTTCCAAGCTACATTTGTTGTTGCAAGATTACGTTTTAAAATTTGTTTGTGGACATTTGAATGTATGGTTTTAGCAAATACATTTATTTGTAGGATGTCTTATGTACACGATAGTGACTCACATGAGGAGGAGCTGGATGATTTGCCCGACGACATTGATAGTGATTTGGAGTTGGTGTAAGACTATGATTCGTTGGAAACATCCTTAATGGTGGGGGCTCAATTTCAACAACTCGTAAACATTTTCTCGGCTTCCTCGTCTGCATTTCCCTCTTTAAGAAGAACCCCCTACCGAGAATCCACTTACACGGGTTTGGATTGGGTAAATGAACTGTTAGCTGGAAATCCACGGTGCTTTAAAGATGCAATGGGCATAAATCAATGTCATTTTAGCATCCTATGTGATGAAATCAAAAGGGCGGGATTCCACGAACAAACGAGACAACAAAGAATAGGCATTGAAGAAAGTGAAGCCATTTTTCTTCATACAATAAAAGGTCATCAAAGGCAACGACATGCGGGTGAGACATTCAGACATTCGGGGGAGACAATTAGTCGTCACTGTCACAAAGTCATCAATGTTCTATGTTATATAGCCCCCGACTACATTCGTCCCCCAGACTTCAATCGTGTTGCACCGTGGATAAGAAATAATCGAAACTTATATCCTTACTTCAAGGTAAATGTATTACTTCATTTTTTTAATATGTTTATTATTTTAACATAAATTACTTGTATAGTGAAATTGTTTTTTCTTAATGCTAGGATTGTATTGGCGCCATTGACGACACTATTATACCAGCGTGGGTGCCAAAGGACAGCAAGGTTCGTACATATGTAGGAAAGGTTATTTAGCCCAAAATGTGATGTTGGCGTGTGATTTTGACTTGAAGTACACTTTCGTCCTAGCGGGCTGGGAAGGCAGCGCAAACGACGCAGATATTTTTAATCAAACTATTTCAGACCCCAAATATAATTTTCTCTTTCCAGCACCCAGTAATTCAATTAGTACACTTTTCATACATCTGTATTATTACGTAATTAGATCATAATCTATTTTATCAAATTTTTCTAGAGCTCTCGCAACTTCACAACATCTGTTCATGTAGGTACATTCTATGTGGTGGACTCCGGATACGCAAACATCCCAGGTTTCATGACGCCATATCTTGGTGAAAGATATCATCTTCCAAAGTTGTTGGGGTCTAACCAGTTGCCCGACAATGCTTGTGAGTTGTTTAACAGACGACATGCCACTGTCCGTAATGTTATCGAACGCAGCTTTGGTTTGCTAAAAGGGAAGTTTTCTATCATAAAGGGGTTGATGCCAAACTACACAGTTCACTCCCAAACCGACAAAGTAATAGTTTGTTGCGTTCTACACAATTTTATTCAGATGCATGAACCGCTGGAAAACATGCCGCCTGAATTCAGGAACGCAGAGTACGTACGGCGACATGATCCTCGGGATCGTACTTTTCCTTTTATGTCCAATGATAGGAACGCGAACCCCAACGTTGGTGAGCATTGTGTGTTGCGTGACACGATAGCCCAAGCCATGTGGGCGAACCGAAGATAGAACATCGTTTGTAGTAATGAAACCCGAACATACCAACACTTAAAATTAATGAAACCCAAAAACATATTTGCGCGTGTAGTATTATCGGGTTTAATTTTTAAAAAGTGTTGTGTTGTCTGTAATTTTGAAATTTTTACGTTCTACTTATTGCAATTCCATATACTTATTTATAAAAAAAAAATGTGTGTTTTTGTAATAGTATTATATACTAATACCAGTGCGTACATTATTAATTAAAACTATTTTATTTCATAACATCTTCTGAACCTAGTTTATTTTATAATAAAATAATTTACTCATAATAACAATTTCTGGACATTATATTTTACTCACAAAAACAATATGAACCAATTTCATTATATAAAGTTGAACCTATATTATTTTATAATATAACATTATGGGGACATTCTTTACTTTGCAGAATGAATAATAAAAATAAGTGGTGTGGTTGCTTTCCTCAGTGATAGATTCCGGACATGAGTGACGCGTGTCAGAAAGGGTATAAATGCAATATGGGCAATGAACACGGGTCACATTATGGAGAGATGGTGTTTTGCATGTGAATTCTTATCTGTAAGAAAGGTTCCCACTACAAGCATTTTTGTCAACTTTTTTCATCTTTTCTGTAAAAAAGGTTCCACTTCTTTTGGGTATGGGCAATCTTTTTTTATAACTTTTTTGTTTTTTTTACATTTTTTTCATGCACATGAGAGGAACCACATTCCATATTGTATTATGACTTTTTTTTTACGTGCAAATAAAATTATTGTGAATGAATTGGACTTTTAATTAAATTAAAATATAATAAACTACACTTATGCATATACAGACCACCATATTATTTCTATTTATTTAAGACATATATTTTTTTTACTTATGTAATAAATAATATTGATATTTTTTTATGATATAGTATAAAAATTGAACATGGGTTGACATTTTCATTTTAATTTTTATGATAAAAAAAAATATAACTTGACAATTTGAATAAAACCCAATGTAATGTTTTATATAAAATTAAATCATTTTAGTTCTTAAAAAAATTATAATATTTTTTACAAAGCTTTCTAATTCAACACCTGTGTAATATATGAGTAGTAGTATAATTGGACACATGTAAAAGAAAAGCCATATAATTGGCTCTATTTAATTGTAAAACCTGACAACATGAAACATGACCTTAATAGAACATAGTAGTATATTAAATGTCCAATTTTCATTCCAAACTTATAATAGTAACTTCAAATAGTACATGTCTTTTGTACGCCAAATAGTCTCGTACGATTACACGTTCAAGCATCCAATAGCCTTACCTTGAAAATTAGATACTCATAGCCAATTAAAGTGAAAACGCATGTCGTGCCCTCCACGATTGCACTTCGCTCCATAAATTCACGAGAATCACCATGTTCCATCAAGGTCTTCCCATGCGCTTGGATTATTGTAACATTGTATAGAGCTCCTTTACACATCAAGATTGCTCTGCTAGTATCATTAATATGTTCCCTCCAAAAACTCATAGGAATGGCTTGCAATAGTAACACAATGTAAACTAACATTTTCTTTTTCCTTCCATGTTGCCTCATTTTAAGTGTTCCGTGAAACGTACCAAACGTGCCCTTCGTACGTGTATTTTTCTTGATATCTACGAAGAAGCGATATTGCGGAACTCGTTCAATGGAATTACAAGTGAACACTTTGACTACAAAGTCATAAAGAGTTGTGCGCTCGAAATACAAAATATAGTCCCCGCGAATATCCTCCGCTCGTACAAAATATTGCCAACCATCATGAAATTGCAATTGATTTCCCACTTTTACCAACCAAACTTCATAACTACGGTGCTCCCTAGTAACTATTGTACAATTTACGGTGACATGATTTTCATACTGGTGGTAGATTGACTTGAGTAATGCCTGTACGAATACCACACGCATTTTGAGTGAAGGATTTTAAAATTCAAGTTAACAGTTAAATTAAAACAAAAAAGCATGTATGTTCGAGCGGCAGCTTCATACCAAGGTTGGGCTGCTTGCATCCGTAATAATGGTAACGAACGGGTCAAACATATTTGCCATTCAAAAGTACCTGTAAAAAAAAATACGAAGTGAAGCCATGTTTTATATGATGTACGGCTTACAATAAATTAATAAAATTAAATTAACAATAAAAAAATATGAAGTGAAGCCATGTTTCACATGAAGTACCGCTTACAAAAAATTAATAAAATTAAATTAACAATAAAAAAAATATGAAGTGAAGCCATGTTTCACATGAAGTACCGCTTACAAAAAATTAATAAAATTAAATTAAAAATATCAAATTCTTTGAATTAATTCATTTTGTATTGAATAATAAAATACGTTTGGCGTATATTAAGAAGAATAATAATAGATTTACCACAATAATAAATTAGATATATATACGTTTGGTATATATTTAGCACAGTAATAATTTACTTATATAAATTTAAGCTTAGCATAAGATGATACACGGAACTACCTCAACGCCTATATGAATTTAAGTTTGATCCACATATTATCATCCATGACTTGTGTTCTGAAAAAATAGACACACGAAAGTACCTCACGTTCACGTACAACTGTCGATTTTGGCCGCTGCGGGAAGACGGGAAGGATGACAATGAATTGTGATATATGGTTTTTGCATTACGTCCAAAGAGTACCATTTCATTCTTATTAGTGGCGGGCCCACACATATGAAAAAAAATTGGGTAATCGAAAGCAGCCCTCTTTATTACAAAATAATAAAGTACAATTAATAGTAATAAATAAAAACAAGTAGGCACAACTTTATATGCCACTATTTACAACAAATTGTTTTTTTTCCAGTTTCGGAGCAAACAAAGTCCAACTGCCCCATAAAACCAATAAAAGAAGAAGTGCAACAAAAGAAGGCGGTGGAATCGAGGTTTGACCCACCGGGTGGAAAGTTGAAAGGAAACAAAATTTGTTGGGAAGAACAACCTTGGGGTGTCCAAATTGAAAGGAAACAAATTTTTCTCCTTCCTCAGAACATCTCCACTCCGTCGGTCCGCCCACCGTACAACCGTTGTGAAACCGAAGAAGAAGATGAATCCATTGTCGTCACAGGTACGCCTGGGCAATTCACACTCACATGGTTTTAATTAAGCTTAGATCTGATGTGATGGCGTTCGAACCGTTGTTGAGCCGCAAGAGCACCTGCAAGAACTCAACGCCGGAGGGGTTTCCGGCGTAGAGCCTCCGACGCTCAAGTCAGTATATGAGAGAGATGATGGGAGCTGCTATGAGAGCAGCAGCAGTAATGAAAAGGATATGGAATGAATGGGAGTTAGGGTTTTGGGATTACCTCAGTCCTTTATATAGAAGTGCAACATTTACCTGAAGTCCCCAAAGTGCCCCGGCCGACTTACTGGAAATGTCCAGAATACCCCGGTCGGTTCGTATTCTGCCTACTTCCTAGTCAGCATCTAGATCCTTCCTTAGCTTCCTTCTTATCCTTAACTCTTCCTCAATACGCTGAGGCATGTCAAAGTTATCGAGAACCACGAACCGCAAGACTCCTTCAGTACGCCATCACAGGTACTGCTGAAAGAATTCAGGGACATATTCGCTTTCTCCCCTGAAGAGCTAACAGGAATCGATCCCGATGTCATGGAGCATAAGCTTAATGTCGACCCCCTGGAAAAGCCCGTGAAGCAACGACTTAGACACCATGGCGCAGAAATCGACAAAGCCATAGAAGTCGAGGTGGACAAGTTGTTGAAAGCCAAACATATCAAAGAAACTCAATTCCCAGAATGGATATCGAACACGGTAATGGTAAGGAAGGCGCTAAATAAATGGCGTATGTGTATCGACTTTCGCGATTTAAATTCAGCATGCCCGAAGGACCACTACCCCCTGCCTAGAATCGACCAGCTGGTCGACTCTACTACTGGTTGTCAGCTGTTAAGCATGATGGACGCGTCCCAGGGTACCACCAAATTCTTTTGGCTCCTGAGGATCAAAGCAAAGTTAGCTTCGTGACGAGCAGAGGGACGTATTGTTATGTCGTTATGCCGTTC